TGCGTGCGTGCGTGCGGGCGTGCGCGGGTGTCTGTGTCTGTCCGTGTGTTTGCTTGTGTGTTTGCGTGTGTGTCTGCGTGGTTGGTTGTGTGCTTTTCCTTTGCTTTGTTGCCTGTTTGCTTGTTTGCTTGTTTGCTTGTGCGTTTGTCTGCATGTGGTTTTGTGTTTGTACCTGGCTGGTTGGCTGGTTCGTTGGTTTGTTGGTTGGCTGGCCGGCTGGCTGGCTGGTTGGTCAGTAGACTATTGGTTGGTTGGTTTACGTGTTTGTTAGTTGGCTTATATACATGTCAATGTGTTTCCCTGAAACCTTGACGTTCGTAACCCCCTTAAACTCCAAACCCTAAACTCCAAACCCTATAAGACTGTATAAACCCTGAACGTTTACGGCCTTACAGTAGAAAGGCTTCCCTTCTAAAGGCCTCGGCAGCCCTTCGCCCAAAGGACCCGTAGGCAGCTCCTTTTCCGGAAGTCCGGGCTTCAGGGTTTAGGGTTCCTGGCATGATGCTTTTAGGCTTTACCACCTAAGGGTTTAGGGTTTAGGGTTTAGGGGTTTAGGGTTTAGGGTTTAGGGTAAACTCTACACCCTAAACCTCAAGGGGTTTAGGTTGTTGCGGTTCACGGGTTTTAGAGAAGCCCGAGATCCCCCCGGCTGTAGGTGCTTGAAGGTTTAGACTAGCTTCTGAACAGTTCAGGTCGGTGACATGTGGGTTTTTCTCTGGTCCTGGTAGGGTTTTGCTTAGGTTCTGGGCTTTAGGGTTCAAAGGTCACGAGCATACACAACTTGCACATCAGCATTGGGTAGGCTTCAACGAGGCCTTGAAGACAGGATCAGTGCTGAACATTCGGTGCACGCCACTTGTACAACTACTGCCCCTTGAACCCTAAACCCCGAAAGCCAAAAATTACCAAACCTCCCTAAACCCCTGAGTCCCTAAACAATGAACGCCCCTGAACCCTAATAACCTCACAGTATCCTTTAACTTTCATAGCAACGCCTTATCGGAACCTTTAACTAAGAACCCCCAGAACGGTGCACCAAGTCGCAAAAGGAGCTGCTGGGTCGCACCTCGGATGCCAACCCCGGAGCTGGGCGTTTAAGGATGTGTTGAGGCTCTACAATAACGGGCTCGCCGTGAGTCCACAGAAAGATGGGGCTCTGCTAGGGTTGTAGAAGGTTTCTACTGCACATGCATATAAAATCTTAAGTGGTTGAGATGTGTTTTCTTCAGGGCTTTAAAGTTTAAGGGTCGGGCGCTGCAGAAAAGAAGAACTCCAAACTGCAGCACACTCCAGACGACACACCCTAAACCCTGAGCCCTAAACCCTGAAGCCTAAACCCCAAACCCCAAACCCTAAACCCTTAACCCCACGTGTGGTGCCATCACTCCCGGAACCCTGCGGAAGGTCTGTCCGTATCGATGCTAACACGGTTCGAATCTTTAGAATAGGACTTATGGTTTAGGATATTTGGGTTTAGGGTTTTTAAGTTTTAGGGCTTAGGATTTTAGGGTTGAGGGCTTTCAGCTCTTGGAGTTTGGGGTGTTAGGGTTTAGGGCTGTAAAGCTTCAGGGTGTGGGGTTTTAGGGTTCAGGGCTTTCAGGTGTTGGGGTTTGGGGTTTAGGGGTGTAGGCTTTTACGGCTTGGGGCTTGTAGCTTTTTTAGAGCTTAGGGTAGACCCTACACCGTGCTATAGTAGGAACCTTATCATAAGGATCCTACAGAAGGAACCCCGACTTCTCTCAAAGCCCAAGATGAAACTTTCGTGAGAGCCAAGACCTCAAACATTCCCACACACACACACAGAGACACGGAAGGCTAGCATTGGTTTGATTTAAGCGAAGGCCATCGCTGACGACCAAGGCATAATGCCTACTCACCAGCAACTTTTGACATGTGAGCTCCTGTTCATCACTGTCTCCGGTGAAGTGCACAAAGTAACCCTGCCTCGGCCCTTCAGTTACATGCTAACCCACAACTGGGCCTGAACCTGTCAACGGCAAGCGCTCAGCACAGCCCAGGGAAGAAATCGCCGTTCACAGGCATTCACGGAAATGTCCAGAAATGGGGTTCTCGGCTTAGCCCCAGGCCATCCAGGTACTGCGCTGTAGAATGTGAATACAGAAAGTCGCTCGAACAATGAACCATGTACAGCCGCTGTCAGGATGTCACCAGCAATGTCCGCAGGTACGTGGCTTGAGCGTCCCCAATCCATATCACGACAAACTGGAAAGGTCACCGTTGGGCAGTGCCGTCCAGAATGTCCACTGCCCCCCTGCTGATGACAAACTGTGAAAAGACCGTGAAGTTTAGACCCTTAGGGCTTAGAGTTCTGGGATTGAAGGTTTGGGGCTTTAGGATCTTGGGCTCTGGGGGTTTAGGGCTTATAGGGTTCTGGGATTGTAATGCTATACTGGCTCGACTCCGAAAGCTTTGTCCACTTTCGCGAGGTCCCGTCCGCAATGAAGCAGCAGCTTGGGCTCTCTCTGGAAACCCCTGCTCGACTCAACGCATCCTAAACCCTACACCCCCTAAGCCCTAAGCCCTAAACCCTGTGTTCTGGCAGTTCGGGCTGCAGCCTGCGTGGTCTGTTTTCTTTGCTCGTTTTTGCATTTGGCTGCATCCTGCCGGTCGTCAGTGTCTCACCATGTTAGGGTTTAGGGTTCAGGGGGTGTGCCTGGCCAAGTATTTTGGTGTAGGAACCCTAAACCCTAAACCCTAAACCCTTACTACTGCCTTGCTCGGGTTTGTTGCGAGCGTACCCTGGGAGAGGGAGGGGGAGAGAGGGAGGGAGGCAGAGTAGAACACACTGATCGCACAACTCGAAGAAACCCCTGGGAAGCCCCCACAAAAGCCGTATGTACATATATATATATAATACATACATACATACATACATACATACATACATACATACATTCATGCACACAGACAGACAGACAGACAGACAGACATAGAGACATACGTACCGTTACATACCCGAAAAAAAAGAAGGCCCCTGATATTAAAAAAAAACGGGCCGCATTGACACGTCTTCGTCGAGGGATGACGGGCTCGGCGTCTTCCTGGCCGGCGGTCCTTCGAAGCCCAGCCTCGGGAGAAGGCGGGGCTCTCGTTTTCTAGCCTTTTTGGGGCTTTTTGGGGGCTTTAGGGTTTAGGTTCTTGGGGCTTAGGGTTGTTTAGGGTTTGGGGGTTTAGGGCTTAGGGGTGCAGCGATTGAGATCGTTTTCTAGCCTTTTTGAACTTGGCGGCTTTAGGGTTTAGGTCTTTCAGCCAGACGAGTGCAATCTGGGCCAACCTAGCCGATCATGCGATTTCCGGGCGAGAAGTAGGGGCCTGCAGCTGCAAGCAAGCGCTGAAGCTAAAGTGCCGAGGGCTGAACGACCATGATTCAATGATGAAACATTGTGCAAGAGATGCAGCCCCACACCGTGATCTAGGCCCTCAGAAAAACGCTGGACATGGGAGCTTCAACCTTTCGAAATCATGTAGAACCTTCCAGAACCCCTTGTTGCATCCAAGTGGCAGATTGACATACAGGAAGACGTCAGCAGCTGCGTGCTGGCGCGGGAAAGGAGAGCTAATGGTCACCCGCCTCGGGGTTTCGGGTTTCGGTGTCGCCATTTTTTTACGGCTGTGGTGCTTTCCTTTCTCGGTGCCTAGAGCGGAGGTGCTTCCTCGACTCGCCGGGCACCCGGAGCGTCATGGACGACAACGCCTGCCGAGAGAGGCCGAGAATCGTGACAGCACGCTCCATTCAAGCGTCAACCACTCGTAGGAGCTGCACCGACCCCCCAAGGGCCTGCTCCTGCTCCCCCTCCACCTGACCACAGAAACCCTGCTTTCGGCCGGAATCTGATCTCGAGAAGGGGTCGGGCCTGCTGGCCCTCGGCGTGGGCCTTGCGCACCTTCCGTGCGTAACGGCGCAGGACGGCGTCCATGCCGGCCCAGTCCAGCGGCCGCGCAAAGCGCTTCAGGGTGGGCATGCCCATCCGCACCTCCGCAACACACCCGGCACATGCTGGATGCCTCATGTCTGCAAGAAGCGGCTAGAAACAGCGTCAATGCACGCCTTGGACTTGTTGGTCTTGCGCACCTCGGACGCAAGACAAGAGGAGCCGCCGAACCTTGCAAGCGACATGTGGCCAAGGCACGAATCGCAAGTGAGCTTCCTCGATGTCCATCAGCGGCGTGCTCGCGTTCACCAGCAACGTCAACTCCGCCAGCTCGTCGTAGCACTCTTCGTAAGACTCCTTGCTAAGCAGTCTTGGGTCTTGCTCAAGCTTTGCAAGCGAACCTGAGAAATGGCGACTGCCAAAAGTCCCAAATTTGCCACTGAGATCTTTGCCCGCTCCCTCATCTACGCCTTCGGCTCGAGAGTCAAACAGTGTACCCAGAACCCGTTGATCCATAAGCCGTTCGTCATGTCCGTGCTAGAGAGAAGGATGAATAATTGCCAAGAGGGTTGCGGGGGTCAGTTCACCGATAGCCTTCGCATCCTGTCCAAGCGGCATTGCTGGCAGCTGAGCGCACCGACGGCGGGCGCCTGGA